GCCTGTCCAGCTTCTAGCCCTCATGGACAGGGGGAGTGGAGCTGGGAGGGGGGGGGAGCTGGGAACTCAGGGCACAGCTGGTCATGCAGGCCAAGGCTTTGCATGGAGACCACGTGGAGGAGGGAGCTGCCGACTCCCGTGCTCTGCTCTGTGGGGAGGGGCTGGGCTGGCCGCTGCCTGGTTCCTGGAGGCTAGACCAGGGGCCAGCTCTCATCCGCTCACAGTCACAGAGAACCTGTGGGTGTCAGTGCCTCTGGGCCTGGTGGCTCACGGCCACCAACAGCTCACTGACTGGTGCTCCCAGTCAAGCCATTCTAGATTGGAAATGTTGCAGGTAACACACTTAGTCCCATGCCCCACCAGACCTGCCAGCTCAGCCCGCAGCCGGGCAAAGCCATCTCCATGAAGCCTGCCTTAGAACGCAGTGTTGACCGTCTTGCATAATTCACTGAGTACTCTAAGGAAACAGGAAAACGGACTTGAGCCCTCGAACCTCGGGCCATCGTAAGTTGAACCATCGTAAGTTGAGGACCGTCTGCAGTCCATGATCGCAGTGCAGGGCCCGCAGGCCTGAGCCCAGAGGGGCACCAGAACCTGATCATCTGGTCTCACTGCGACTCTGAACTCACCGACCAGGGACCCCCCCATTCCCTCTCCCTCTGGGAAGCTCCTTGCCCTCTCTGAACTTGGGTTACCTCAGCTATAAAATGGGGGATCATTGTGGGAGGGGTTTAAGGAGGTCAACTGTCATTAAGGCTCAGTAGCAGTGACTGGTGTCAGGTTTCACCACACTGTCAGTATGGAGTTTAAGACCTGGAGGTGTTGGGGACACTCAAGACGGCAGCAGTTGGGTCTAACTTCCAATTTCACTCAGGCCACAGTCTGGGCTGGGCGGCTCTCTGTGCTGAGATGTTCAGCCACACAGCCCTGTCATCTACCAGTAGATCATCTTGGGGGTCAGCACTTGCTTCCCAGCTGTGTGATCTGAGGAGAGTCACTTAACCTCTCTGAGCCTCCCAACACTGGTCTGTTGGGAGAATTCATGAAATGATGCTCTGAGAACTTGGGCTTTTAAGAGCTCATGGCCTGAGCCCCACCCCAGCCCTATTTTGTATTTTACTTAGAGACGGGTCTCTCTGAGTTGGTTGCTTAGCACCTCGATTTTGCTGAGGCTGGCTTTGAACTCACCATCCTCCTGCCTCAGCCTCCGAGGCACTGAGATGACAGGTGTGAGCCAGAA